GTATAGCTGCCCCTGCATTGCACTGTTCAGATGATGTTCTGGAGCCAGAAGACTGACTTGGCTCTCTGGAGACCATCATGAAACCAGGTCGGAAAGGTTGACCCCATTCTTCCAGCAGCAGCAAGAAACATTGAAAAACAAAGCTTTCCAAATCGACAGTAAAAGAAATCCATTGGGAGCCTCTCTGCGACTAGTCCAACCGAAAACTAAAACCACATTCAACAAGAACGAACTAACATCATAGTGTAAGCAGCATTTCAAAACATAGGACATCTGAACATTCCATCCAAGACTGCACTGAACTGTGCGGCCGAAACCGTCCTTGAAGTGCTCCGTGTGTCGCTGCCAGAGTGAGAAGGGTGTGGCCTCTGCCCCAGGGCCTGCAACATGGAAATGGAAAGCATCTAGCCAAGGAGTGTGGGGGAACAGCGGTGTATTATCCTTAGGACTTCAGACACGCCTCTGCATGTACATGTTCTGTAGAACCTACAGATTCCAAATGGCAGAATGAGCGGCCCTTTTTATCCTTGCCGAAGGGCCGTCCTTGACATGCACAAGTCGGTCGTCAATCGTGTGACAGCGGGGAACTGAACAAAAAGAACCCAACCACAAAGTCTAATACATTATTCTGGTTTTCTGCAATCTTCTTAAGTTAATTCTCTTACGAGATTCAATGAACTGATTCAATGATTCGAAACATCGGGTCATCGAACAACGTGTGTCATGCAAAACTTGCACGGGCGAGTCCACCGGCGACAACATTCGTCATCTCTTGTCTGACATAAAATCATACTTTGCGAAAGACACGTTGGAAAGTTATAGCATTACGTACACCGGGGACTTGCTACGGCTCCTCTTCTTCGTCCAGCGACTGAATTGTCCTCGTGAAACGGCCCTGCAAATCCTTCAACAAATCGAGTGAGCTGCGCCTGTCCTGCTCCAATGTGAAGCATGAACCGAAAACGTGTGCAGCGATGTCGTCGTCCAGCAAGTGCAGGTCGCGTGCTCTCTCGCGCCATGCAGTCTGGAAACGAACGAGCGCTTGTGAGATGGTCGGCGTGTGCTTGACGAAGCCCTTCGGGTCGGGAGTGAACAGCGAGCGTGTCGTCTTCGCGTAGCAATCCCACGTCACCACACCGAGTGCCCACATGTCCGCCTTCGGGCCGATCTCCACCTCTTTCATCAAAGTGAAGCTGCTGAGCAGTTAAGGGAAACGACAACAAAATGAAACACATAGTCATACTTCCTGCCAAAAAACAAGTCAATTCTTAAAGACATGGCTGTTACTAGCAAGATATGAAGTTTTTCAGGCTATGTCTTTGACTAAGAAGCTGAGTCTACGACTGCATGTGCTGACATGACTCTTCTATGAATCAAGAATCAGATCTTTGTGTCAAGTTTTCAATTACAATGGCCATTGCGAGTTTGCTAGTAGTAATGACATCAGTTGGATCCGGGAATGCCTGAGGTTGATCTGGTCCTGCAGTTCAGATCCGCAAAATCATAAAGTGTTACTAGAATGAACATACGCACCGGGCTTACTACTTTCAACTTTCTTCGACTAGGATTCATGGTCCAGGCCTTGCCGTCCCCGGAGTAAAGGCACTCGATCGGCCGGTAGTACGTCGTGTAGACTTCGTCAGCTCTGACTTTTGCTTTTCCATTGAGTGGCAAAGCTCGGCAAAAACCAAAGTCGGACAGCACCACCCGCTCGCCGAGGAGAAACACGAGGAAGTTGTTCGTTTTCACGTCCAAATGTACGATGTTTTTGCTGTGCACAAATGTAAGAGCTGCGAGTGTCTGCCGAAAGTACGTCGTTACTTGGGCTCGTCGTGTGCTCCAGGGAACTCCGTCCTGAAGGTCGTCCGTCTTCAAGTCCCGTGTGGCCTTCAAGAGGTCGCAGGAAGCCCGCTCCATTAGAATTCCCGTGTGCCCAGTCGAGGATGTCAGCAAGGCATAGAGTCGCAGAACATTCGGATGAGGTCCTATCTGGCTCAAAAGAGTGAACTCACGGGTCAAGTCCCACGTCTTTTCGAGACCGTCTTGGTGCACGTCCAACAGTGCAGTCTCCCTGTCCGGCGTGCGAACGGCCACTTTCAAGGCTAACTTCAGGCCCTGGTACGTGCAAGCGAAAATCTCCCCGTACGTGCCGCGACCCATATGTTTCTCCTGCACCAGTGGGTCCTCGGCCGTGTAGCGAAAAATGCCACGACCGTCGAAGTCCTGCGACTCTGCGACGTCCGGCAGTTCTCTGTCCATGAACGAAGCGGGGGGAACTTCCGTGTGTTTGGCCTGTCGAAATTCTTCGCGTTGGACCCGATTCTCCTGGTAGCCCTGCCTGGCCTTGCGTGTGTACTCGTCACGGAGGTCCTTTCGGTTGTGCCTCGGGGAACAGAGGAATTTTACTGGACGATTGGGTGAAAAGGTAATCCCCGAGTAAAAAGTAACATGACTTGTATTAGGACTTTTAGCTACATCTTATTAATTATGTCTGAAGTAAATAACTTTGGTACGTAGCTAAGATGGCATATTCGGGTTCCTGACCAGAATTGCCAAGATTTTACTTCCCGTGGCTTCAGATGACTTGGGGTTCTAGGCAAGGGGCACATGTGTCAGTATCTATATTGATTTTGCAGCCAAGAAGCCACTTGCGCAGATAATGTTTTGAACCGCGAAGTGATGTTTTCCGGGACAGTCGACGACGAGATTTGGGGTCCACAGAGTCCTTGCACATGTCCTGCATGAACAGCGCGTATGCCGAGGGTCGTCGTGACAGTCCCACCTCCTGTAACTTCGGCCGGGCCACCATGGCACGAGTAATACTTCGAGGATGGAACCACGAGTCGAGACATGTACAGAGACTCTTTCCGTTCCATTTATTTCAACAAAACTGAATTCTCATGGACTCCCACCGAGAATAACAACCTAGGTTTCAAGTACAAACATTTCTGGTACAATTTCCAGTTGCGCTACATGACTACTCATTATCTTGTGTGTCCGTGGGGAAAGTTACACAGAAGGTGAGTGAGGGCGCGTTGGCTCGCCATATCAGTACATGTCTGGCCTACTTAAAATACGTGCTCAATGCATGGACGACATGCTCCTGAACTTGAACCCACATCACCGCCACTGTCTCACACACGTAGCAGTGCATTACAGAAGTCTGACTAGAAGCATCAATTGCACGGATCAAACACGCGTGCAAAGCGGAATAATCCTCTTTTGGGCCCGACGAATGTGTGCATCGATGCTGAACGACGATGTGCTACGAGGAGAAAAAGTCCAATCACGGGCATGTCAAGTCCGAGTGAACTCAGGAGTCGAACCTTGTCAATCGCTCCTGCAAGTTTTCGGGTGGGTCACGTCCTTCGTGGTGCTCCACCCATGACCAACCTTGTGTTACACAGGCTCGACCGGCGGCAGCTTCACCTACTTGTGTCCATGAAATACTACGTGTAATGCTGACTACAGCTGTCTTGTACGACACCTTCCAACGACCATTCTTTGGGTCCGTCCAAACCTGTACAGTATCAGGAACCATGCTCTTCACAAGCTCGTCCGTCGTGGCATTCAGCTTTGCGTACACCCGGTCGTACTGCTGCTTTAGCTTTTTGCTGTCCTTCTCGGCCTTCTGAGTCTTGCGTCGGCGTGTGTCCTGTCCGGCCTTCCAAAAGTCCTTGTCCAGGTCCGAGACGGCGTTCTTGTACATCGTGCATACCTTGGGTCGTAGACTTTTGGCCGAAACCGTGGACCGACGGGCACTGAGCTCCTTGAGGGCCTTGTCCTGCTCGCCAATGAGCAGCGTGTCCCGAACGACGGCTTCCAAGTCCTTGTCGTCGACCTCCGGCATCCACTTGTCAGTCTGATGCCTTGCCAGGATTCGTTGAACCACGTCCTCTTCGACCAACGAGTTGTCCATGTTGAGCATGGCGGCAACAGCCAGCTGATGTCCTGCGTCCACACCTGATTTGGGTTGGGTGGCGGTCCAACCCATGTGCTGGCACAACCTGCGCAACAAAGCCTCAGAACAGGCAGCGAAGCCCTGCTCGGCGTGAAAGTCCAACGTGCCCATCTTCTTGTCCACCAAAAACACGATGCCGTTGTTGAGGTGGCTGCCCTGCGTGGAACGACCTCAGCAGTAGCAGTAGCGGCAGCAACACTCTTAGTAAAAAATGATCGCAATCGTTAAGTTTTGCGCCTGGTCAGTAAAAAGCGGTGATATCACTAGGAAGACTGGTAAAAAGACTCGAAAAGGGTAGTAGTAGTAGTAGTAGTAGTAGTAGTAGTAGTAGTAGTAGTAGTAGTGTAGTAGTAGTAGTAGTAGCAGTAGTAGTAGTAGTAGTAGTAGTAGTAGTAGTGATAGTACTAGTAGTACTAGTAGTAGTAGTAGTAGTAGTACTACTACTAGTAGTAGTACTACTACTACTAGTAGTTGCAGTAGTAGCAGTAGTAGTTGTAGTAGTAGTAGAAGAAGTTGTAGTAATACTAGTAGTAGGAGTAGTAGTACTGGTACTAGTAGTAGTAGTAGTAGTAGTAGTAGTAGTAGTACTACTACTACTACTAGTAGTACTTGTAGTAGTAGTACTACTACTACAAGCAATCGCAGTAGTTTACAGTAGTAGAAGGAATCTCAGCAACAGTCCTAGTAGTAGTAGTATTACTACTACTAGTACTAGTACTACTAGTACTACTACTACTACTACTACTACTACTACTACTAATACTACTGCTAGCACTAGTACTAGCACTAGTAGTATGGCCAAAAAAGTGGTAGCAGTACACACAACCACACCCTCCTTTCGTCAATACCCAAAACCTCGACGCACGTGCCATCCTGGGCTACTCAACCTAACTCTGTGAAACTTCGAATCCTTGACTGTCGAATCGCCTGAGTTGTTCAGAAACCCATAAAAAATAGCTTCAGTGCTACCCCCCCCCCGGGCCGAAACTTACAATCTGAACCGGAGAAGCCTTCCGTGTCAATCAATCATCGTCACTCATTATAGGACGAATATATATGTAGAGAATGTCCGTGTCGGGCTGACAATGTTCAACTGTACTGCAGCCGAGGCACGCAGAGGTGAAACAACTCGCAGCCGCAACACTTCCAAGTCCAAAGATGTGCTGTGCATCCAAAAGAGAGACCGAACGCCCATGTTGAATTCGAAAAACTCATGGTCCTTGTCCTTAACGATCTTGCCGGGCCATGCGAGTGCAGCCAAACGGTATGTCCGAACGATGAACAACGGGTCTGCACCTGCCAGTACAACATGTCCTTCGGGCAAAAGTCCAGAGCACCAACCTTCTTCACAAAGCGACCATCGCTTGGCCCTCCACGCCTTCATCAGTAAACTGAAGGCAGCCAAAACCTCCTGTTCCTCGGCGTGGTTGTGGGAGACCCAGTCCCTCGTCTTCGTCACGTCTGCAAGAAGCTGTGCTTCCTGCACCTCCGAGGCACTGACCTGCGTGCTGACCGACGAATCGGAACGACGACGAACTGCTTGAATCTTCTTCTTCTCGGTGTCTTTGCAGAAAAGTTTGGCCACGTCAAACGCTGCCGGCGTGTGGTAGAGCTCCGTTGACAGTGCCTCCACCCTCTCGTACATCTTGACCACGGCCTGTTGGGTCACAGCCTTCCATCCGTCCAAACGACCCAAGTCCTTCGAAGACGAATGTCGTTGCTCGGCCTCGCGCTGGACTTTATTACAGTCTTCGATGATCTTCGTGTTCAAGAGGCCCGACCAAATGCTGGTCAATACGTGTGCAACGTCCTCCGTAAGGCTCTGAAACCGGGTAGTGCAAAGATCGGCGAGGATGTACCGACTAATCGGCCCTTGGGAGAAATGACCTTCGAGCAATTTTTTTGCCATACGAGAACCACCACTGTGCGTGTCCTGGATACAAGACTGCATCTCTTTGAAAAAATCCAAGCTTGCCCGACGGAACTGCTCTTCAGCATGGACTAGTCCTGCGGTCGCACCGAAACCTCCAGTATGGTACAGCTGTGCCCCGGCCCGCAGCCGCAGGATCTGTAGTGTCAACTGCGTCATTTGGCCTGCGAGCGAGTCCTGCCAGACAAGCTCTGTCTCCTCCGGGGGTTGTGCGCGTGCCAGTGTCAGGTCGAGGCCGACACGAGATAAACCTTCCAAATTCGACAAAGTCCTGACGTGGTCCTTTGCAGTGCTCATCCAAGACCAGTGTGCCCAGCCAGAGTAGTAGTCCTTCGTCATGCCTTTGGAACGCAGCTGCTTGAGCATGAGCGAACAACGAAGCTCTTCGGGTTGCAAGACCTGGAACATCATCCTGGCTGTCGTCTTGTTGTCCTGCGAGATCACGAACTTCGTCATTAAGTGTAGACTGTTCGCGCTGCCCTTCCGCTCCTGGTCCATGCCTTGCTTGGCCTCCTGTATGGCAGAAGACTTGCTTCCACCATATGGAACCGAGGCACGGGCCTGGTTGCTGTCCTGCGAGAAGAGGTCCTTAGTGGAAACTGCCCAGTTGTGCTCCAAGCAGACCACCGTGAGAACTAAAGCCAAGACCGACCACTCTTTGTCCAGCGCGCTGTGGGCCGTCGTCAGGGAATTGAACCGACTCTTGCTGGCCTTCGTGCCCTTGATGCGGATGCAGTCCATGTCGGGTAATGTCTGCAAAAACGACCTGCGTTTCTCCTCCGTGTTGTCGTCCAGGGGGGAGAGGCCGGCGTCCAGCAGAATGTCCGGGAAGAAAAGGAGCAATATCGGGTCCGAGGGGTCCATGTTGTCCTTCATGCGATTTGCGGCTTGCTGGATCTTCAACGCCCACGAGCCCTTCTGCCAGGGTCCATACCTGATGTTGTACAGCGAGATGCACCATGTGCAGAACTTCAGGAGTCCAGCGGCCGACAAGGCCAAAGCCACGTCGTTGTGCGACCTGTGGGCGGGGTCCGAGACGTGTTCGATCCAGAGGCTCTTTTTGTTCCTCAAGAAGGAGACAGCCGCCAGCTGTGTTGCTTCTTGGTCGGTGCACAAAATCATGATCGGTGCACGTTTAGCCTTCGTGTCGTCCTCCGCGGGGCCGGCCGGCGTGCTCTGGCAGCAGCCAAAAGTCCAGCCAATGGGTCGCAAGCCGTGGTTTATGTCCTGCATCCAAGACAGTGTGGCCAGCCGGTCCTCCGCATGACCAGGTCCAACGGGTTTCTCGATCCCGAGGAACTTCTTGGAAGCCTTGTTCCACATAGCTTTCCACTGCTCAGCCGACAAGACGGACGATTTCTGGACCTGCTGCGTGGTCTGACTACACAGAGAAAAATGTGAAGCAAAGCTTAGAGGAAGAGCTTGTCAGCAACAGCATGCAAAACAAACGACAGAGGTTGTTACCATATAATCACCCAGGGGCCCTTTTTTGGGGGACCGGCCGGTCAACTTAAGCGGGGATCTGGCGTACCTTTTTGGGGGCCGAAATGCAGCCAAAATGTGGCCGAAATGCGTTCCTCGGCCTCCACCCGGGACCCGGTCAACTTAAGCAAGGCTGTGCGTACCTACTCATCAGTAGAAGGGCGGCCGGGAGCCTTTATCAGGCCAATCCCGAAACCCAGGGGTCAGCGGGGATACGTGTACCTATCTTTATATAAAATACAATAGAAAGACTCCGCCCCAAACCGAGCCTGAGCGGGGATACGTGTACCTCCCCTCGGAAAAACGATTTTGGTCGGACCCAGAAGCTACGAAAACGGCACCCAAAAAGGTCAACTTAAGCAAGGCTCTGACGTACCTCGCCTCTTGCCTAAAACGCCTCAGAAATATGTGTTGCTTAACAAAAAAAAGCGCCTGCGGCGGGCAGACCCAAACTTTGTCCGTCGTGTGGTTGTACACCATGATGTTCAGCCAATCGTCACTTCCCACGTGCACTGCATCTGCCACCACGCACAAAATGTCCGTCGAGAGGAAATCTGACTTGCCCTGCGTGACATAGGCGTATCGCTCCATGCGTGCTAGCCTGTGTGCGTCCATAGAAGCGTGCTTCTTGATCTTTTGTTCGTCCTGCTGTTCGCTGCTGTCCTGCACGGTGAACGCATGTCCTTGCAATGTGGAGGTAAGTGTCCTGCGTGTGGCATTCGATGAACTCGCAACCTCTTGTCGAAAACTCGTGGACGACCGACGATATCCGGAGGTGCTCCTGAAACAACAGGGGGAATATCAATTTTCGGGCTTTCAAGACACA